CTAACTGACCTTCTGAAGAGGACCTTAAACTGAATTGCCAAGTTATTAGTATCGGGATTCACAGAGTTTGGAGAATAGCAGGTATGACTCAGAAAGATTCACAGGAAAGAGCCAGAACAAAATATATGTATGGCCTCTGATGTCCACTGTGACATGTTGAGAGTCATGAATAATAAGCAAAATGGAACTTGAGATAAAGCATAACACAAAGATGGGAGTGAGGGCAGGAGGGAATGCAACCTGGTCAGCAACTTGACAAATCCAACTTGCTGTACTTTTAAGGAAGTCATTTTCTGATGTTACAGGCAACATCAGAATTACTGAATTGAATTCTGAGGTGGTACTTTGAGAAGGATCTACTTAGACAAGGATAGGTTCATTTAGAGAATAATAGCCAGGATTGGGAAGAGATTCTTTTCCATGTCCTAGGGTAGCTGATGAAATTGTGGATTTGGAGAGGAAAGCATGGGGGTTCAGGTTCATGATAGCTTATCCTTAGCTATTTGAAAAAGTATGTATATGGAAGCATTAGTTTTTAGTTTTATTTGTTTTTGGTGAAGACAGGGCATAAAACTAGAACCAATAAGTCAAATTACAAAGGGGTGATTTTCAACTCAATGTAAGGAAGTGACTTGTAACTATTTAGACCCATCTGGTGATGTAGTCTTTGATAAATAGAATGTTCTTCATCCTTAAGAATAACTTAGAAGGCTGAGATGTTAAATGGGAAATCAGATAACTTCATGAGATCCTTGTAGAGCCTGAGAGTCTGGTTCAGAGTTAACATATACTAAGGTAACTCAAACTTCATTTTACCAGTCACCCTCAATCTTTATTTTCCCCTCCCTGAAGAACGCTTTTTATTTCTATAAAATCTTGATTCCTGAGTTCCAGGGTACAGAGTTTATGGAATAGAGTCCCCAGGTTTTGATGTAGAGGATCCTCTTTCTCCTGTCTGAAAATATCCTTTAGTATTTCCTTTAGTGTGAGTCTGCAGATGGAGAAAATCCTTACTTTTTATTTCATTATTGAAGAATATCTTCACTGAGTGTAAGTTTCTAGATTGGCAGTTTCCTTCTTTCAGTACCTTGAAGATATCATTCTCTTATGGTAGCTTCCATTGTTTCTCTTGAAGCGTTTATGGTGCTTCAATCTTGTGAAGTCTTTGATCAGTTTTTGAAAACTCTCCGCAACCATATCTTCAGCTCTTACTTCTGTCCCATTCTTTTTTTCTTCCAGGACTCTACGTATGTGATAAACTTTTCAACATATTGTCTTTTATTTTCTCCACTTTCTGCCTTTTTGTCTTTCTGATCTTTTTTCAGTTTACTGAATCTGTCTTCTGCTAGGTTACTGCTGTGGTTAAACTTATCCATTAAGTTATTACTTTCAGTTTTGGTGGTTCTAAATTGCAGAATTTCATATGGTTGATTTTCATAATTTGCATTTCTCTGCCAGGTTTTCAGTCTTGTCCTGTCTTTCCTTGCTCATGTTCAGCAGAGTTATTTTGAAGTGTGTCTGGTAACTCTGTTATCTCGATCCCTTGTGGTTTTGTGTCTGTTGTTTGCTTCTCTTATTTTCTGTTATGTCATTCTTAAGTCTCATGTGACTTTTTATTTTTAGTGATAGACATTATATATGAAATATATGAAATATATAATGTAGAGCTAATTTGAAGCCTTGGATGATATTCTTCTCCAGAGAGGATTTACATTTGCCCCTGCCAGGGGCTTGGAAATTAGCGACCCAGGATTGTCTCATCCAATCAGGGATTGAGATCATTAAAGCTGGCCATCATTCCCTGTCAGGGCAATTTACGGTTTGTTCTTCAGGTTCCCAACCTGAGGAGTGGGAGAGTTAGCAGGGCCTCTCCTCGGTGGACGCTGAGCTCCAATGTTTATCTCCCTGTGAGCTCTGTGAGGCTGTGAGTTCTAGCTCAGCTTATTAACCTCTTCTTCTCTGCTGTCATTGGAAGAAAACCCAAGGGGGAAAAAAGAAGACTCTGTTCTCTGGTATTCCCTTTTCTCAGCCCCTGTAATCATTACATTTTGTCCACTTTTCTAGTTCTCAGTGGGAAGACTGATCTAAGTTACCTAGTCTGTCATCGTTGGAATGGTTCCTTTATATAGTTCTATTGAAGTGGAACCCCTTCATATGTTCCATAAGTTTACCATAACACTGTTCTGTTTGGGCCTGATTTTCACTTAATTTTTATTTGCTTTGGTTTTCATTTTTGTTCCCACTAATTTTACCTTTATGACTTTCACCCATTATCTGATAATAAATGTACATATTCTTTTATAGATTCTTTGAAAATTTTCCAAATAGTATATAACATTAAGGATGTTCTTCAAATTAGTTAAACTTGCTTATTTGCTTTTTAGGATAACTTTCCATTTGATCCTCCATTTGTTTGAGTGGTGTTAATTGTTCTCTCAGGAGCATAAGTTTAAGCGATTACTTTAAATTTTTTTTTTTTTTTTTTAGTTTAAAAAAAAATTTTATAGGATTAAGTCTCACTATGTTGCTCTGGCTGTTCTTGAACTCCTGGGTTCAAGCGATCCTCCCACCTTGCCCTCCCAAAGTGCTGGGATGACAGGCATGAGCAGCTGTGCCTGGCCTACATTTTTTTTTAATACAGTGTGCACCAGAATCATTTGGAGAGCTAGTCCCAGGGTTTCTGATTCAGTAGGTCTGTGGTGTTGCCTGAGCATTTACATTTTTAAGAAGTTCCCAGGTGAAGCTGATACTGTTGTTCTGGGGCCCACATCTGAAACCGTTGGTTATAAATCATTATGTTGTTGATAGGTAGAGATTTTAGTGATATATGTGTATACACACACACACACATATATATTTACACGTACACACACACACATATATACACATTTTAATCATAAAAACCAAAGGTTTTTCAAATGTAAATTGTGACTGAAGGTTTAGAGAATGTTACGATTACAGAGTGGTCCCCACATGCCTGTGATCCTAATTAGTACTTCTAGGAATAATCATGGGAAGTCTCATGGACCTGTGGAGCTGGCTAATTACTTCTAGAGGTGATAGTTGCAGTGTAGTAGAATCAAATGGTAATTGTCAGGCAGTTTTACTGAAATTTGGCGTGACTGCTTCTTTTTTGTGATTGAAGTCTTACAGAAGTGGGGAAAAGATCATGGTTTGCTGGATTAGTTGTGGGAAATGTTTGTAGACCTAAGTATGAGCAATTTAAATATTGAGGATTTTCAAACACTCAGCTGACTAATTCATTATCATGACATAATCCACATTATGGTGATTAAAAATCTAAATATCTCCAGCCCTTACTTTACGATCATTCATGGTTGGGAATGGTAATAGTTCATTTGGGAGTAAGCCACTTGAGTGACTACTTCCGACTTCAGAGAACTTTCTCAGAAAAGCTTTGTTTACAGTTATTTACTTGTATTTGATGCTTATGCTTATGTATGTGTTTTGGGGAGCTAAGATCCTGGCCAAGAATCATTATTCTGTATAATCAAAATACATATTAACTGTGGTGTTGGTACTTTACAGAATGCTTATCTGGACATGATATCCACGGTAAAGCTCAGAGAAAAAAAAGCAGCCAGGTTTTTGAAAAAAAAAAAACAAAACCTTAGAGTATTATTACGTATGGATGTGCCCAAGCTCATTTGAGTTTCCCACACACAGTAAATGAATATTAGTTTTATTATTTAATTAATGAATTTTATTGAGACAGGGTCTTGCTCTGTTTGCCCCAGGCTGGAGTGGTGGTGCAATCACAGCTCACCAGCCTCCTCCTGGGCTCAAATCATCCTCCCACCTCAGCCTCCTGAGTAGCTGGGACCACAGATTGTGTACCACCCAGGCCCAAGCTAATTTTTGTATTTTGATAGGAGACAGGGCTTCACCATGTTGCTCGTGTTGGTCTCGAACTCTAGGCTAAGCGATCCACCCCACTCCAGACTCAAAAGTATTAAGACTATGGGTCTGGCAGGTGACCCTGCTGCCAGCCCAGCTTTTGTGTGGCTTTGGCCCAGGCTTTTTGCTTCCCGGCCCTTCCCTCGCAAGCTTTTTCACAACTGTTTGGTTTATTTTTGATAGCGCGACACAGCCACTCAGACTCAAAAAGTATTAAGACTATGGGTCTGAGCCACTTTGCCCAGCCCAATATTGTTTGTTAAAATTTTTTATTTATTTACTTATCTTTTGCTTTTGTTTTTCTGTTTCAATTTTTAGGTTTCTATTTTTTTCAATATTGTGTTTTAAGAGTTTACTTACCTGAGGCCTGCAGCCTAATCTTTGCCATATCTCCCCAAGTGTTCTGTGAGTGCTAATATAGTGGTATGTTCATAGATATTTGTTTTGTGGGGATTGCAAGGATTTGGGGAAGCCAGGTTCAAAGTGTCTTTTACCAAAGGACTTCTTGGAAGCCTTAATGCCATTTTCTGTTTTTCCCAAATTTGTTAATTAGTGTTCCTGACAGCATCTCAGAGGACGATGCCCTCTGGCTTACTCTCTGGGAAATGCTGCTCTGTTGGAAATCCGTAGTTCTGAGTGATTCCCATGTGTTTTCTGCTGCAGAGCAGGACATGCTGAAGCGATTCGTTCATGAGCAGATGTTAGAGGTCTCCTTTTGACAGCTTGTTACAAAATGGATCACAAATATACTATTAGGTGAGTGTAAGTCCCCGGTTGGGTGTGAAGCAGAGTTGTTTAGAATTGTGTACTGTTTTATTTTGTTACCTTTAAATCTTCTCTGGGCTGCTTTGGTTTCAGCAGTAAAATTGCTATAAAAAGTACTTCTCTTGGCATAAAACCTCATGGTCAGTTTTGGAAGTTCAGTGTTAGGTAACCCAGCCAAATACTTACGTATACAAAATAAACACAAGACTGAAAAATAGCAAATGTTTAACCTTTGTGTCTCTTACTCACTACACCAGCCTTTTACTAGCCACCAAGCCATAGTTCTTTTGTTTTTCATAGTTGAATGTTAAAATGTAAGGGCTTTTTAATGAAGCCCTTACTGATTGGGGAGAAAAGACATTAGCATTGTGCTTTAGTTTTATGCACTGGTTTATAAAATTGTGTATGTTGACTCAATATTCCCATAAGCACAGGAAAGGAAAATGGGTCATTTTTTGTTCAGAATCTTACTTGAGGAAAAAAAAAAATGATCAAGGAAAAGATTTGGATAAAAATCTGCAAATTCAGGATAAATGTATGAAAACATTTGAAAATGTGATTATACAATGGACCAGTATAGCTTTTCAACATTTTGTTGTAAGAATCCCAAGAATGTAAGTTTATGATCTTAGTATACCACCTAGAATCGAGACAAATACATGAAGTTATGAGTCATGCCATTTTCAGTTTTAAAATCCCTCACATAGTTTCTTCAGTGATTCTTTTTTGCAACAGTGTGTTATGGTCCTCATTATTTGGATAAATAATTTGAATAATAAGTCAGCTTGTGACCTACCCAAATAAATCTTGATTCCTAGTAGTGTTTTTCATTAAACCAAATGCCAGCTATATAAGAGGAGATTAAAAGTACTAAGAACTCTAAGTACCCTATTGATTATCATATGCTACCCATAGGTCAGGCACGGTGGCACACACCTGTAATCTCAGCACTTTGGGAGGCCGAGGGGGATGGATCACTTGAGGTCAGGAGTTCCAGACCAGGCTTACCAAGATGGTGAAACTTCATCTCTACCAAAAATACAAAACAATTGCCAGATGTGGTGGTGCGTACTGGTCGTCTCAGCTACTCAGGAGGCTGAGGCAGGAGAATCGCTTGAACTCAGGGGGCAGAGGTTGCAGTAAGCTGAGATTGCACCACTGCACTCCAGCCTTGGTGGCAAAGATAAACTCAATCTGAACAAAAAAGAAAAAGAAAAGCTAAGCATGGACTTAATTTCTCTGAGGTTTAAAGCTGCAAAGAGTTGCTCTTCATGAAGTAGGTGGGATCTCAGCTGGGCAGTGAAATGTGAGTGGGGTTTGGTCAGTTGGTGGAGGTTGCAGGAAGATTATTTACATAGGTGAAAAGTAAACACAATCGGGTATCTAGGAAAGAGAATGAGAGATTCAGAGTACACGAGACCAGTTTGAGCTATAACACAAGGAGGGTAGGATTCATGTAGAAGAGTTGTAGGAAATATTGCCAATGTAATATTTTGTACTGAAACATTTCTGTGAATTGGTGACAGATTTTTTTTTTTCTAGTAAGTAAACTATTACCCCTGGATATTCATCTTTCTATGTAAGTGGTTGAGAAACAGGGGAGTAACAGTAAAGAAACTGTTTTAGAATAAATCTGGTGACAGCGGAAGAGAATATGAGACACACTGTGCTCACAGAGCCTAGAAGAGTGTGACAGTAGTTGAGGGCCACGCTGTCATCTTAGAGTGAAGTGAGGAGAACCTACATTGGTTTGGTAGTCCTGGGAGTGGAAGGAGGAATGACATGTGAAAGCTCATTGGAGGCAGAATCAAAATGGCTTGGTCTTCATAGTCAACTATTAAGTGAGGAGGAGGAGTTATTGGCTGACTTAGGAAGAAGTAAAAAATGTGAAATACCAACAAAACACCAAGCTTGCAATTTTAGTCAGGGTAAAGCTTAACCGTTGTGTGATTCTAGGTAGATTATTGAGCAGTTTTGTTCCATTTATTTTATATCCCATATCTTTGAGCTATGATCCTATTTCTTTATTTCTTGACATACCCAAACATTTTTGAAACGATTGTGATACAGTTTTTATATGATAAGTCTCACCCTTTGAAGTGTACATTTCAGTAGTTTTTTAGTATATTCAGAGTTATACAGCCATTACCATTACCTAATTTCAGAACCTTTTCTTCTCTCCAGAAAGAAACCCTGTACCCATTAGCAGTCACTCCCTATACACATTTCCCCCACCATTGATCCTGGCAATGTCTGATCTAAATAGAATCATACAAAATGTGACATTTTGTGACTGACTTTTCTTTAAAGTGATTATAAAGCAAATGCCTGAAGAGGCTAAGCTTAGGAGAGTGTTTGCTGTGCAACTTTGACAACTGATTTTTTTTTAAGTTGAAAATATTACTGTGTCTGTATATGTGACATATTATCCTTAGATGACCCTTGCTTCAATTATTCGAATTTTTTTCCCTAGTATTCTTGAACTGTCTCAATATTCAGTAGGATCCCTTTGGAGACAAAGAGCAGTAAGAATTTGGAACACATATTGACAAAATGAATGTAATTTAATACAGTAGTAGAGTCAACCACTTTTAGGTGTCAATGCTGCTGAAAGTATGTATTAAGGAAAAGTTTACTTATCTTACTTTTTGTGAAGGTACTAGAACTACTTCTGTCTTCTGTTTAGATTTCAACAAACATTTGCATAGCTATTATGTGGTTGTACAAATGTACTTTCTTTTGACCTGAAAATGCAAAAACTTCTTTTCTTCCCACTATCTGAGACTCTGCAACTTGAAAGGAAGAGTGGGGTACTTTAAAGGAAAGGTGGTGATGGTTGGATAATGGGTAACAATGTCTACCATATGCTTCCTTTTGCCAAAACAAGTTCCTGTCTACCATCAGCTTTTCCAAAATTTGAAGATTAAGTGTTGTGTTAACTCATTAACTAATGAATAGACTTTGAGCAGTTGTGGAATCAAAATCTCAGTGAGTACCTGGATGTTCTAATTCTGTTAAATCAATGAGTACACATTATGTGCAATATCCTCTTAGCCCAGTGGCAGATTTAAGGAGTGAGAGATCGATTTCTATGTTTCAGAAATCAAATACACAAAGAATAAAAATTTTTAATCCCATGATTCTTTACCTGAGTTTAGTTTTTTGGAGAGTTTTTCTTTTAGATTTTCTTTCCTTTCCATTAAACTTTCACTTTGAAAGATCCCAGGGTTTGGTCAAAGCAAGTGGGAAAGCCACTTGCTTGGATTCTCCAGGGCAAAGGAGTTAAAGAGGACTTCTTTCCCTCATTTTGTTATTGTATAATGTCATGATAACAATTATTAAGCTGAATGGTCTACAGTAGAAGTTTTTAGATGCCTTCTCTGCAAAACAATTTGGTTTAGTCGATGCAAGGATGCCTTTGGTTAGCTGAAATGGAAGATGTGCAGGCTAGAGTGGTCTTGGCAAGTCTTCTGGGGGGAAATACAGCATTTGGAAGGGTAGGAAGCAAAAGGAATCTTAGGCAAGGGAAAGGTGTGGCCAGAGCCCCAGAGGAGAGAACAGTTTGTGGTGGACTTGGTGTCCACGTAGATCCAATCAGTGTCTTAGCTTTTGTGTTTTCAAAATTACCACAGTTTTTGTTCTAAAACTATCATTCCTTTGATTTTATTTTAGGCATGCTATCTGTGTATCTTGAAATTTAAAATAACGTTAAAGGAGAAATGAAATGATTTTGTTTGAGAAAGAGTTAAAAGGTTAAAACATCTTGATCTAAATAATTTTCTTTTTTTTTTTTGAGACGGAGTCTCGCTCTGTCACCCAGACTACAGTGCAGTGGCACAATCTCAGCTCACTGCAAGCTCCGCCTCCCGGGTTCCCGCCATTCTCCTGCCTCAGCCTCCCAAGTAGCTGGGACTACAGGCGCCCGCCACCTCGCCCGGCTAGTTTTTTGTACTTCTTAGTAGAAACGGGGTTTCACCGTGTTAGCCAGGATGGTCTTGATCTTCTGACCTTGTGATCCGCCCGTCTCGGCCTCCCAAAGTGCTGGAATTACAGGCTTGAGCCACCGCGCCTGGCCAATAATTTTCTAATGGGAGATTTGGTACATCCCCAGAAGTTGTCTTTGGTTCAGAGAACAGTCTTTAGGCTTAGAAAGGACTTGAGGAGTCCCACAGAGGAGCCACATGCTGTGAACCATTTGATTCTCTCAACAGAATGGATAAAAATAATTTGAACCATGAAACCATGCAGACGTTCATATTTTGGATAGGGTAAGGTCAGTGCCATTGTCAGAGGAAAAACCCTTGGCCATCACAGGATGGGAGAGAAAGTTTCCGTCGTAAAGAATACTCAAATATCATTGAAGGAAACGGGTTCTTCTGCCCTTATTCTTTGGATTATTTAGGGCCAAGTTCTTAGTTTTTGACATCATCAAAATTTCAAAGTATTCTGTTCTAGGAGCCATTTCAAACAATTAACTAGAATTTCAGAGCAATTACATGAGAGTAATACCATTAGAATTTTTAAATTATCCATAGTCCTATATCCTTAAGAAGTATGTTCATGCTTGCATATTCTCCTCTTATCTTTATTTTGTGCGTACTTTCTTAATAATGGCACATAGAAATTGTTTAAGCAGGAATAATTCTCAAGATAATTTTATATGTTTCCTTTTTTCTTTTTAAGGTATATATTGGGTGAAGGAGCATTATGTATGGAACCTCTCACAAAACAGGTGATTATTTTCTTATAATACTCAATTTTCACACGCAATAGAGTGTTTTGATTATGTAAGTTAGATGGTAAGTAGAAGGTTCTCTTAAAGACATTTTAGTGGGTTTTTTGTTGTTGCTGTTGTTTTTTCTTCATAGCTCCTACTTTCAAGAATGAAAAAGGTATCCCAGCACTTTGGGAGGCCAAGGTGTGTGGATCATGAGGTCAGGAGATCGAGACCATCCTGGCTAACACAGTGAAACCCCGTCTCTACTAAAAAAATAGAAAAAAAATTAGCCGGGCGTGATGGCAGACTCCTGTAGTCCCAGTAGTAGAGTCAACCACTTTTAGGCAGCCCCGCTGTACTTGGGAGGCTGAGGCAGGAGAACGGCATGAACCCGGGAGACAGAGCTTGCAGTGAGCCGAGATGGTACCACTGCACTCCAGCCTGGGCAACTGAGTGAGACTCCGTCTCAAAATAAATAAATAAATAAATAAATAAATAAATAAATAAATAAAATTAAAAAGGTAAACCAGTAAAATGACATTGTACTTGGTGCTGAATCTATGCTAGGATAGGCATTAAGAGTGACCTTTATTTAAGGTTCTAATTTGCTCATGTTGGGCACTTAGAACATCACGGTTTGTTGTTTTTTGTGAGATTCTGGAAATGTTCAATTTTACTTCTTCCCCCTTGACTCAGACTTTATAACACTGGTCTGCTGCTGTTAAGTTATATGCCATTTGTTGGGGCTTTCATAAAGTAAGAATAAGAGACTACTGCTGCCATTCTAAGAGAATATTTTATTTCACTTCTGCCCAGAGGCTGAAGCATTTACTCAGCAATAGGAGAATTAAGTATCATTGCAAATAAATGCCACCTGGAGTCAAAAGCAAAGCCAAAGAAGAGTGCAGCTTGGAGCAAAGAAGGTACTTCTATTGGGAATTTTACATAAACCATAAGATATATTTTATATTACTTTGTGAGCCTTCTTCCTGTCTTAATTCTTTTTGAGAGAATTCATTTCATTTTCATTTGATTTGTTTTTCTTTTTATTTAAAAATGATCATAGAAAATATAAAGAAAAGATTAAAGATACTGATTGCTAATCACTTAATGATTTGGTATCTGATTGCTTAGTCTTTGTTATATTTACTGTAGACAAACCGCGTCCACAGTTGTAAATTTATTATTGGTATGTATACCCTAGTAAAAAAGTTATCATTACTTTGAAGTTTTACAAAATTGAGTTCATGTTATAGAATTAATTCCTGATGAACTTTTTGTGTGCTAGGCACTAGTCTTTTATGCCTTTTATTTTTACTTTTTTTTTTTTTCTCCTTTCTGCCTATGCTTACCGTCTTTTTTATTTTTTTACTTTTGATGACTCACAATCCTCTTAATAACTTAAAAAGAGGAGTATTAATATCTGCATTTTATGGATGAGGCAACTGAAGGTAGGTAACTTGTCCAAGGTCACAGGTGGCAGAGCAAGGATTGGAACCAGACAGCCTGGCTGCCCTAGGCCCAACCAAGAGGAGCTGAGAGCAAGCCATGGGGCAGAAGGATGTTGGTCAGGCTGGTTTTCTGTTTGGCAGGTCAGGCATTTTAATTCTACGGCATGCAAAGCCTTCAAAGCCAGAAGGGTTTTGTTTTTTTTTCTTTTACCATGACCATGGCTTTTAGCAAAAATTTGATTTTGTTTAAAGGCAACATGGTGCTCTAAGCTTCCACTCACTCTTATGGAGGATGGTAGTTGAGCTAAATAGTAATGCTGCAGCACGCGGCCTTTAGGCAGCTTCTGACCTATTTCTATGGTGGGGAAAAGGAACACCCCTATCTTTCCCTGCTGCCCACAGCCTCTAGCTATTCACCTTCCAAATTTCCTAGTCTGTGATCACATTCAGATGAGGGATCTGCTTTGTTTTCCAGAGGTAGCAGGAAGTGAGTCACCACCTGTACTAAACAGTCTAGTCTTCTGTGTATAAATGAGCAAGGTTGGGGAGCCGAATTTGAGAACCTTGTGTAATCCTGAGATTCTCAAGAGAATCAAGGCATGTCAGGATTATGCATGGTGGTAAAGTGGTCTCATGTTAGTTGTGCCGACAGCTCTCATCAGAAGCAGACACAGACACTTTGTAGGAAAGCATCTCTGTGAGCCGCAGGATTCCCGAAGATTAAAAGCAGGCAACTATGAATTCAGTAAAATCATAGCATTCAAGTAGTCTCAACCTTATATTTGAGGGTGTCAGAAACAATGAATAATATGTTTCCAAAGAACTTCTTAGGTTTTTGGAATTATCAGATACAGAACACAAGACCCAAATATTAGAATGGTGAGAAAATAGTTACATGTGAAACCTAATATAGAAGAAAGATGGACTCATAAAATTGAGCAACCAGTAAGACCACCGGGAATGATGAGGAAGACCTGAAAATGGATGAAATAGAACTTACAGAAATAAAATATATAGCTGAGTATGGTGGCTCACACCTGTAATCCCAGAGGGAGCTCTTTTGGAGGCTGAGGTGGGAGGATGGTATGGCCCAGGAGTTGGAGGCGAGCCTGGGCAACATGGTGAGAACTTCGTTTCTATACCTGAAAATAACCCACCACCACCAAAAAAAAAAAAAAAAAATAGCTGAATTGGCTGGGGCACGTGCCTATAGTTCTGGCTACTCAGGAGGCTGAGGTGGGAGGATTGCTTGAGCCAAGGAGGACAAGGCTGCAGGTCGTGCCACGCTGCAGTCCAGCCTGGGTGACGGTGAAGACTCTGTCTCAGAATGAAATGAAATAAAGAAATAAAAGTAGCAATTGTTGATATAAGAAACTCAGTGGATGGATTAGACATCAGAAGAGTTAGGTGGTTAGACAGTTATCTCCCAAAAGTAAGTCAGTATGTTACACTACGAGACATGAGGATAGATGATAGGGCAGAAGTTGGTGGGTTGAGAGGAGAGAGATCAGGCCCAGGGTCTGAAATGGCAGAAGTGGAATCAGGAGGGAATATTAAAATTATGTTAGAGAAAGTGAGAGAAATAGAACTCTAAAGGTGATTGTTGCAGGAAGTTAGGGACCCCGAGACGGGAGGGACCGGCTGAAGCAGGCAGAAGAGCATGAAATTGTGAATTTCACAGGCACTTATTAGTTCCCCAAATTAATACTTTTATAATTTCTTACACCTGTCTTTAGTATAATCTCTGAACATAAGTGTGAAGATTTCATGGACATATCACTTCCCAATGAATATCTTGTGATTTCCCTAAGCCTGTCTTTACTTTAATCTCTTAATCCCATCATCTTCTTTGTAAACAGGGAGGATGAATGTCGCCTCAGGACCCTGTCATTCGTCAACTGCACAAACTGTAGAGCATGTGTGTTTTGAATCTGAGAAATCACGGGCATCTTTTAAAAGAACAGGATAATAGCGTTTTGATGTTCAGGGAACAAGAGAGGTAACTTTAGACAGTCGCTGGTGACTATGTTCCCTCCTCTTTTCCCAGGCAAACAGGAAGTATCGGGCTGAATTCTTTTTCTCAGCAAGAACATGCCTGAGTAAGAGAATGCGCCTGAGTAAGAGAATAGGCCTGGAGCAGCCCCTTTTAGGCATCCTGTCTTTTTATGGTGAAGCTGATGGGATGAAATAAGCCCACATCTCCTATATAGTGCTCCCAGGCTTACTAGGATGGGAAAATTCCACCCTAATAAATTGTGGTCAGACAGGTTACCTCCTGATAAGATGTTGTAATGACAATCGTGCCCGAAACTTCATTAGCAATTGTAATTTCACCCCCATCTGTGGTAGCCCCTGTGATCTCACCCTGCCTCCATTTGCTTTGTGATATTTATTACCTTGTGAGAAGCATGTGCTTTGATCTCTTTGACCCATACCCTATTATACCTCCCTCCCCTTTTGAAAATCGCTAACAAAAACTTGCTGTTTTTTTTTTTAATTTATTTATTTATTTTATTATTATTATATACTTTAAGTTGTAGGGTACATGTGCATAACGATGCAGGTTTGTTACATATGCTTATACTTATTGCCATGTTGGTGTGCAGCACCCATCAACTCGTCATTTACATCAGGTATAACTCCCAATGCAATCCCTCCCCCGCTCCCCCCTCCCCATGGTAGGCCCCAGTGTGTGATGTTCCTTCAGTCTAGGTGATCTCATTGTTCAGTTCCCACCTATGAGTGGGTGAGAACACCTATGCGGTGTTTACAGTTTCTGTTCTTGTGACCCAGTTGCTAAGAATGATGGTTTCCAGCTGCATCCATGTCCCTATAAAGGACACAAACTCATCCTTTTTATGGCTGCATAGTATTCCATGGTGTATATGTGCCCATTTTTCATAATCCAGTCTGTCACTGATGGACATTTGGGTTGATTCAAGTCTTTGCTATTGTGAATAGTGACTTACCCAATATAAACATACGTGTGCATGTGTCTTTGCCAGCTTTGGGTTTCTTAATCCCTTTGGGTATATACCCAGTAATGGGATGGCTAGGTCATATGGTACATCTAGTTCTAGATCCTTGAGGAATTGCCATACTGTTTTCCGTAATGGTTGAACTAGTTTACAATCCCACCAACAGTGTAAAAAAGTGTTCCTATTTCTCCACATCCTCTCCAGCACCTGTTGTTTCCTGACTTTTGAATGATCGCCATTTCCTAGCTGGTGTGAGATGGTATCTCATTGTGGTTTTTGATTTGCATTTCTCTGATGGCCAGTGATGATGAGCATTTTTTCATGTGTCTGTTGGCTGTATGAATGTCTTCTTTTGAGAAATGTCTGTTCATATCCTTTGCCACTTTTTTGATGAGGGTTGTTTGTTTTTTTTTCTCATAAATTTGTTTGAGTTCTTTGTAGGTTCTGGATATTAGCCCTTTGTCAGATGAGTAGATTGCAAAAATTTTCTCCCATTCTGTAGGTTGCCTGTTCACTCTGATGGTAGTTTCTTTTACCACTGTGCAGAAGCTCTTTAGACAGTTCCAATAGACCCCATTTGTCAATTTTGGCTTTTGCTGCCGTTGCTTTTGGTGTTTTATTGCCAAGTCTTTACTTGCTTCTATGTCCTGAATGGTACTACCTAAGAATTTTCCTCTAGGATTTTTATGGTATTAGGTCTAACATTTAAGTCTCTAATCCATCTTGAATTAATGCCATTATGAGGCCAGGAAAGGATCCAGTTTCAGCTTTCTACTTATGGCTGGCCAATTTTCCCAGCACCATTTTATTAAATAGGGAATCCTTTCCCCATTTCTTGTTTCTACTCAGGTTTTGTCAAAGATAGATGGCTGTAGACGTGTGGTATTATTTCTGAGGACTCTGTTCTGTTCCATTGGTCTATATCTCTGTTTTGGTACCAGTACCATGCTGTTTTGGTTACTGTAGCCTTGTAGTATAGTTTGAAGTCAGGTAGCGTGATACCTCCAGCT